GCAAGCGATTCAAGGGCACATAACAACAACAACAAGATGCTAACCTTGAGGAAAATGGAAATCTCAGAACACTTGATCGTGCTTCTGCAAAACCTATACTTGGACCAAGAATCAGTCCTCAGAACAGAGAAAAGAAACGCTGCATGGTTCAAAATCAGGAAAGGAGTGTGTCAGGGATACATCCTGTCCCCATACCTTTTCAAACTGTATGAAAAACAGATCATTCAGGAAGCAGGGCTTTATGAGGAGGAGTTGGAGGAAGACTCATTAATAATACCCTACAATATGCAGATGACACAGCCTTGCTTGCTGAAACTGAGGAGGACCTGAGAAACTGAAGAAGCACTTGCTGCAAAAGGTCAAGGACTATAGTCTTCGAAATGGATCGAAGTTCAACATCAAGAAGACAAAGAATCTTACCACTGGGCCAATTGCAGCACCATATTAGATGGAGAACAGATTGAGGTTGTTAACAATTACAGCTTGCTTGGCTTCACAATCAACACTCTTAACATCAGCAGTCAGGAAATAAAAAACTAATTGCACTAGGCACATCTGCTGCCAGGGACCTCTCCAGAGTGGTGAAGAGCAACAATGTCAGTCTAGAGACTAAGGTGTGCCTAATCCAGGCCATGGTCTTCGCAATTACTTTCAGTGCATCAGAGAGCTGGGCAATGACTAAGGATGACAGAAGAAGAATCGATGCCTTTGAATTCTGGTGCTGGAGAAGAGTCTTGAACATACCATGGACTGCCAAGAAAGCAAATCGGTCTGTCTTGGAGAGGGTGAAACCAAGTCTCTCCTTGGAGGCTAGTATTTTGAGGCTCCGCCTCACTTACTTTGGGCATGTGGCCAGGAGAGATCAGTCTTTGGAGAAGGACGTCTCTGTCTCTTGATTTGTCTCCCTGACTCCACCATCTTAAAAATCTAGCTCCAGCCTAAACTTGGCGGAAGAGAAGACAGCCCATCCAGGCAACCTGCACTATTGCTACCAACTTCTCAAGAGGAAATGAGTTCTTTCAACTGAGAAATGAGTCACTCACTACGCGACCTGCTCCTTCGAACGAGTGCTCTCTCATATGAAATGTGGGCATCCGAGGGAGACCACAGAGTGTGCGGTGGCAGGTCTCCACCCTGGCCTTTGCCACTATAAACCAGGCATCGCTCTTGCCCGGTCCCGTCCCTCCCTCGCGGTCCCCCGCTATGAGGCGCCAAACCCAGAGCCAGAACTCCAGGCACGAGAGAGCGGCTCGGCCACTAGGCTGCGCCGGGATGCGCGCGTGCTTTCTCTGAAGCCGCGCTCAGCGTGCTCTCCTTTAGCGCGCTGTTCCAGCACGACCCCAAAGTAGCTTCAGGCCCCAAAAGCTTTGGTTCTTTTGACCGCGCCCACCAGGCACTTGGCCCCTCGGGTGCAGCTGTGCCCTCGCAGAGCGCCCGCCGCCCCGTCAGAGCATTCTGGGCATTGGGCTTGGGTCCCTACCCGGTGGGGGAAAGAAGGCGGGGGGGGGAGGGGGAAACCTAGGGGCGCCGCTGCCGCGCCCGCATTTTCTTGGCACATCCCTCCACAACCCAGCGAAAATCGCCCAACTTCTGCAGCCTCCCTGCGACCACTAGGAGCGCCGCCTCCCCCTGGGGCAAAGCGCCCTCGGAAAACCACGCTCACCATCCTCGCAGCTCCCGGGAATAAGTAGCCAGGGACCCCAAGTATAGGAAGTCGAAGTGGGCCTCCCAGGACTGATGGACCACGGGGGCTTCTCGAGAACTTTTTTCCCATTCGTCTCCTTCCTTGGGCACGCAGCAGCGATCGCCTCCCATAGCGAGCCTTTAGCGTCGCCGCAGAACCTCCTCCCACCCCAGGTGGACAGCGCTCCTTGGTCGGGTCCATCCCAGGTTGGGTAGGGGGCACCGCGAGCGGCTGCCAGAAGGGACCTGTTTGCTGGCCGCTTTGGAGGTGGAGTAGGTTGGTGCCGGAAAAGCCCGGGAGAAGCCGTTGTGTTGTTGTTTAATCCCCCTCTTTTCGGAAAAGAAACCACGCTGTGAAGGGGAAAATAAGGCGGAGCGTAAACACAAACAAACAACCTCAAAAAGAAGCCAAGAAGAGCTAAGCCAAAAGAAGCAAGCACAACACTGTTACAAAACTGTCTGGTTTTGTAACAATTTCCCCGCTGTCCGCCAATGAGCGGCGTGGCGGTGCGTCACATGGTGCCGTTTTATATAACACTTTGCTGAGACAAGACAGTTATTAGGCGGCGCGGGGCAGCCGGCATGGAGCTCTTGGAGGCGCGGCGGAGCCCGGCTCGCGGCGGCACATTAGCCGGGCTGGCCACAGCAGCCACCGGAGCAGTTCCGATTTCCTCCAGCAGCCACTCTGTGTTCCCAGTTCCCCGCCCCTAGACGCCTTTTCCCCGCGCGCGTCCCTCTCCTTATGGATTCACTGGAGACTGGGCAGATGCTGAGCCTGCCCGCCGAGCTTGAGCTCGGCAGCAACAACTTGGAGCCAGCAGAGCCGGCGGTATCTGCAGCCGGCTTCGAAGCGGCCCCGCACCCGGAAGTGGCCACAGGGGGCGCTGCACCGCTCCTGACGCGGGAGCCAGCGCAGCAGCCCGTACAGCCAGCGCGGGCTTCGACGACGTCGGAGTGTAAAGTCCTGCTCTCGCGAGCTGACGTCCTGGCGTCGCGGGGGCACCTCCAGGAAGCCCTCGAGGTGTACAGACAGCTCTCAGAGCGTCAGCAGCTGGCGGCTGAGCAGCTCCAGCAGCTAGTGCGCTACCTAGCGGAGAGTGTTCCTCAGAGCGAGAGATTGGCACTGGCGTCCCCAGACGGCAGTGCCTCTGCTCAGGGGGGTGCTATGGCAGCTGAAGAGACAGAGACGGCTCCTGTGGTGGCCGAGGCCACCGAAGTGTGGGAAGGCTTCAGGTGTTGGAAGTGTCACGGGTTCCTGTCAGACCCCGTGTCCCTGCTTTGCGGCCACACCTTCTGCAAACTCTGCCTGGAACGCGAACGCGGGCGGGCCGCAGACCAACGCTGTCCATTGTGCGGGGTCAAGCTCTCCGTGTGGATGACAAGCGCGCTGCGAGCGCGAGGGGGCCGGTGGGCCGGGCAGCCGCCGCCGCTGCCGCCGCTGAGGGTCAATGTGGTGCTCAGAGGCCTCCTGACCAAATTGTTCCCCTGCCTCACGCGGGCGTCGCAGCTCCGGCACGAAGGCAACCGGCTGTACCGCGAGCGCCAGGTGGAAGCTGCGCTGCTCAAGTACAACGAAGCGGTGCAACTGGGTGAGCCTGCAGGCGGGAGGCGGGACGGGACCCCTTGGCGCGCGGGGCCGGGTGCGAGCTGAGGCAGAGAGTGGAGGGCGCGGGCTGGGAAGGAGGGACGCGCGCGGGGAAGAGGGCTCCACAGTTTTCTCCCTGAATTTATCTCTCTTTCACAGAGCGTTTATCTCTTTCTTGCTGTGAGTAGGTTTCTTTCTTGGGTCTTTCACCTCTCGGCTTCTGTGGTTTTGTTTGGGTTTTTTCCCCCCTGGTCTATTTAACCTCTAGGCTTTCCCCCCCACCCTTGTCTATTTCACATCGTGGCTCGCGTGTATGTTGCTTTCTTGTCAATTTCACCGCGCGGATTCTGTAGCTGGTTTGTTTTTTGGGTTTTTTTCCTCGTCAATTTCACCTCGCGGATTGTGTGTCTTGCAGACCGTTTGCGGGCTGCTGGTTCTCCCGCGCTCCATCTCTTGGGCTTTTCACTCGGTTCTGGTCTCGCCTTCCCGGT